AACATTCTGCCACCCACAGTGTACAACTTATTTGGTACCCTAACATTATGTCAGAAAGAATTGTATGAGTTCATATGAAATCTGATTTTATCAAAATTACAAAAAATATAAAAAAAATAGCAATTGTAGTGTAGAATAATCATTTGTTAAGCAGGATTATGAAATGCATTAAAAACCAATGATCAAACCTGTTTAAGTAGATGTGAAACTCTGGGAAACATCTTAAACCTGTTGTGCTGACCAGGCATTGCTCCAGGCTTGGCTTATGAGGTGTGGGCATTGTGGAATGATCTGACTCTTGGCATGGTCTGGCCACCTCTGTAGTAGTTCCCTTTTTCATGCCCTCTTATTAGCTTAATGTTTTTTCACAGAACATTGCACATTGGCATCCGAGCAGCAATCTGTTCTCTTGCAACAAGGCAGCTGAATATCAAGTTCCACATTTGTGAATTCTTGTATGTCATATGCAGCCACCATAACTGTCATATGCCATTTCACCAACTGAGTGTGGACTGAGTGTTGAAAGCGCCCATCTGATTACTTGAAGAAACACTGACATTTTTCATTTGCTGTAATTATTTTAGTAATTTTAAAAGGAAAAAAACACACAGAAAATATTTTTCTGGAGTGTTATTGTGTTGTTATTGGTCAGCATTTCCTGCCAGATCAATAGCAGCTTTAAAAACGCAAGTGCTTCTCACTGCATTATAGGAAACAGACATACAGTATATGGATGGTTTGATAGTCATTGACATTCTTCCCCACAGTACCCATTACTCTGAAGAACTGTCTTTGTAGGGAAAGGATATTTTCAGAAAAAAACACACACATAAAGTTTGCTAAAAACCTTGCAATATACATAGTCAGAGAAGAGAGGTTAAATAAAGGTGGATTTGCACTTTAAGAAAGGGCTCCAAAGTTAAAGTAGTATTACACGCGTAACCTTTTTTTTCAGTAATTAATCCAGATCCAACAAATATACACTGTCCAGCAAAGCATTTCTTATAGTCATTATGTTGACTCCAACTCTCTCAGCTCAGCTTTCCTGAACTTTCTGTTGCGTACAAGATCACAAAGGACCGTCAGTCTGCAGCCACTCTCTATCTACTAGCTTGGAAAAGGAAAGAGGAGCGGAAGGGGGGGGGTGGGGGTGTCTTGTCTTGCTGTGCCTGTGTATTTGTGGAGACACGCAGCTTACTAGCATGCACAAGGGTGGCTCCATAGGGCCTTGCAAGGGGAAGGAGCCACCCTAAAACAGAAAATCAAGGCCAGTGCTCAGGGGATCAACTGATTCTGCAGGAAATTGAAACTTTAAAACAACAAGGAGCAGCATCCATTATAAGTGATTTAATCGGAATTTAAACTAGCTTGAAAACTTTTGACTTTAATATCACTTTAAGTTTCTGAATGAAGCTGGGTCTTTGGTAAATAAAACACTGGAAATAACCAGGGAAACGGAAAAATCCAAAAGTGAAGATCTTTGCTCAATTTGTTGCATAACAGAGTTGTGTATTTCTATGCTGCTATTTGTATATATATTTATTTTTTATATGGGATTATAAAATAACTCTGCAGCCAAAAGTGTTGCTCTGCAAATAATATCCCACGAGGACACCGAGGGGCAGTGCTAATATAAAGTTTGTACCGTACCTATGCATGTTTCATGTATCGCTCAGTAATGCAGATGTCACTCCTAAATCTTGCCTCATCTTTGTTATGTTGTTGACTAAAGCTTAGCAGAACTCACATAATTTTGTCAACATATTGGTAAGACACTCGGACGACTGCTTTTCCCCAGGGCAGTCTTATAGAGGACTCTGATGCTTCCCTTCTCTCTCACTGGTTTATATACAGTGGAAATGATGGATCTACTTTTCTGTCAGGATTTATAAATTTGCAAACATTGAAGTGATCATTATTTGTTAGTATTATTATACAGGATGTATATAGCGCCAACAGTTTGTGCAGCACTTTACAATATAAGGAAGACATTACAGTTACAATACAAATCAATACAAGATGGTGAGGAGGGCCCTGCCTACAGTCTAAAAGGAAGGGGCAAGGGGCAAGTGATACAGGAGGTGGCAGATGTTTGGGGATGAATTGGCGGTAATGCTTTATATTTTCCATTGCCTCTCCAACGGTATCTTTAATGAAGTGTTAAACAATAAATGTACCTGTGTCTAATACTACTACTACTGGGTTCACAAGCATTGAAATGTAATGAAAAATTGTATAACATCAAATAACACCATGGAATGTTACTTTTTTTTGCAAAACTATTTGTAAACTATGCGTGGCCCAGTGTTGAGGTTTAAACAGCTTTGCGTTTAGATTTTAGGCTAAACACGTATTTAAACTCTAACATTGAACTTCTCTTATTTCCTGTTCTATTGATCTGTTAAATATAACATTAAAAGTGTTTTATTTTTTTGTTTGATAAGTGCAAAAAAAGACATCCTGACAGCTGATAACTTCCTGTGCATTCCCCACTATGTAATAGAGAGAGATAAGGAGAGGGAGATGTGTTCTGCAGGCCAAATCAGTTGGGAGCAACTTAGGGTGATAACACTCCATAGAGACAGTGCAGTGAGTTAGTGTTGCCATCCTAGGACAGGAAGTGTTACTAGCAGGATCACCAGGTTTAAATAAAGAGAAATAGTAAGAAAATCCCAATGTAGTCACCACGTCTGCGAACTGGTAAGCTGCAATGCGTTACATTTTTGTTCTTGGGTTTAGATATACTTTAATTTTCAAGAGAGTTGTTGCATGCTGTACTCCGCTGACCCTTAATGGGGGCATGATTTTCAGGTGTGTTTTCACAACATATCCATCAAAGCTATTGTTCTTAAGCAAAAGGTAAGTATAAATGTACTAATATTAGCAAGTAATGCCATTTAAGTTCTGTGCTGATTGGGCAGGTTGACTTGAGGATGAAAAAAAGTTTTCAGATTTTGATGGAAAACCAAAAGTGGATTAGTTATTTTTCTTCAGAAGAAAAGGAAAGACCTGTTCTCTGCACTTTTGCCACATGTATTCCTGGCTGAAATATCACATGGTGTCTTTTCATCAATTTTGTTTAAAAAAAGAGAGAAAGGAAATGATGCAATGGATAGTATTGGTGTCCATTCCATTGCATCATATCCTTTCTCTTTTTGTTTTTTTTTTGTTTTTTTACCATGGCTGAGGGAAAATTGATGAAAAGACACCATGTGACCAAGCCCTTAGATGAAAGAAAAATGACCTAAAATTCATCCACAGCAGCATTTATAAAATGTCAAGGTTTTTATCAGCTCTAAAAATGTATAATAAATATTCAGTGAAGACAGCTCTGAACTGGGTTATATTTTATGTGTGGAGTTTGCAGGACAATTGCGGAGAAATAACTAAAGCTGATTATCCTTTACTAACAGGCAGAAAACCTCTCCTGTTGTTGGTCTACTGGAAGCTGCAACAAGGATCGTGCACCAGAGGGGTTAAACTGTGTCATTTAAAAAGTATTCTTTGAAGAGATTTTTGCATAGAAGCAGCAGAAAATATCATCCCGTGAAAGCAACCAAGTGTGCCATATTTCAAGGGCATTTTTCACTAGTAATGAGCAGTCACAAAATGTGATTTAATAAATGCTATTTCAACCTTAAGTACCTTGGATATCTAATGTTCTGAGAGTGCTTATGCTGGGTCCATAGTGAAACCCTGCAATTGCTAATGAGATCTTTTTAAGCAATGACATGCTTTGCAAATTGTAACAAAGAAGAGTTTACAGAAATTGACGTGGACAATTATGGAACAAGGTTAATGATCATATTCCTAAGTGAAATAGTTTAATGTTTCTGATATATACTGATTATATCAAATTATAACAGAGCACAAAACCGCTTGTCATCAGGCCTGCATTACAATGATACATGGCCTCTCCGTGCCTCTATAACTGTCTCTGCCATGTTAGGATCTGGATTATGTTAATTTTATTTTATTATTTTCATTGTTCATCTGGTTATGTTTTGTACACATGAAATGCCTGTTTTTGTTTTACTTTGTAGCCTAAAGACAGGAATCTCTAAAACAAAATGCTAATGCATTCATTGCTTTAGGGATGTTTGGGGTAATTCTATTCATTCAGCTTAGAACAAGTTAATCAATTTGTCATACTTAACTATATAAATTCCAATGCATCTAACACGAATGCCCATCGTAGGGTACATTTAATTATCTGCATATATTTTAATAGCCCTTAAAGGATGGAATCATTATAATATAACCTGTTGTATTTGGCCTAGGATAAGCTAAAATATAATAGTTATCAGTGGTGGGATTATGAAATTTGTGATGTAGCGTGATGGCATGCAGCAATAAACTGTACCAGAGAACATATGTGTGTCTGTAAATGGCCAGACTTCTTGCAGTGTGGGAGATGACAATGGGTAATCGGCCCCAAATGACCGGACTGTTGTAAACTAAGCTCATTTAAAACGAATTGAATCGATGTTAGGGATAGCAGAAAGTACACTTTGACAATAGGAACTGTCAGCCTGAATTTGCTGTCATATTCTAACCCATGGCCTGGACTAAGTGATCATAGATAGGCAGGCTTAATAAGCTTTTGCCCCCCATTGACAAGCAAGTCAATGTGCATGCCACAGGGGATCAGGGTGCCTGCTTAAAGAATGTAACAGCAAGATTATTAGTGCAATTGTTTCTTTTTTCGACTTTACACATATACATATTGTGTGTGTAAATAAATATATATATATATATATATATATATATATATATATGTGTGTGTGTGTGTGTGTTTTATTTCTTTTTACTTTACAAAACACTGCACAAACTGTTGGAGCTATTTAAATTCTGTACACAAACATAACCATTTATCAAGCAAATTAGAAGAGTCTGGAAGTCTAAAATTTGTTGCTATATCCCTTTAGTTGAAAGATGGTATTACAGAAAAATTATATGCTTGTTTTACTGATATATTTCTATTTTATTTCCCTCCACAGCTTTAATAGCCATTGGCCGGTATAGCAGCACTATAGAGACAGTGGACGTTGGGTGGTGTAAGGAGATCACAGATCAAGGAGCAACTTTGATTGCACAAAGTAGCAAATCCATACGTTATCTGGGTCTGATGAGATGTGATCAGGTGAGATATTTCTGATTGTTGATGGTGTGTAACAATGATCTCCACTTTACAAGGAATTTAGGCTTTTTTCTAGCCCTCTGTGTTGTATACATTTTCAAGAAAGCAGAATTTGTCATGTGCAATATTACAAATAATCATCATTATTATTGTTTGTGTCCATGGAGGGTGGCAACTTTTGTTCCCCTTGTTCCCTGTGTGTGTTGTAAAGTAGCCACCACTCCAGGCTCGCTCCTGTGGTAAATTAGAACTTCAATACGAATTGGTAAACTAAATGTGCGATTGTAGTTCATCACAGGAGTGATCTTGGAGCGGTGGTTAGTTTACAACACACTCTGGGACCATGGGGAACAAAAGTTGCCACCCTCCAGAAGGAGTGACAGTGTCGGCCAAATTCAGAAATGACTTGAGGGGATGCACAGCTGAGTGATACACAAATAAGATACATTTTCGGTAATAGTTAAGGTACTTGAATGCATTTTTGCAAAGATTTAACTCGTGAGTTTAGTTTCACTTTAAATGTGCAGTTGTAAAAAAAGCCATAAGGTGATGGGTTTTACAGAATCTTATTTATTCATGTATAGCATTGTTTCCCAACCTATGTATCGGTACCTAAAGTGGGTTGTTGACATGTTTGTGATGGGAGATTACATGAGTATGTAGCCTAGTCTGTTCAAGCACACCATTGGTGGCAAGTAATATAGCACACTTTATTTATCTATGTTTCACATCTTTTACTTCTGTGATCTTAGGCGAAGCCTATAAAGATGGCTGAACATGTTTATGTGCAGTTATTGGATAACAGAGATCTATGGGATGAAATGTAATACATATTCCCACAACACCGCCCCTCTCAAAGCCTTTGAAACAATTACATTCATATAATTGACAGCACAGATATGTATGGGGAACTATAGTGTAGGCAAGCAGTGGGGGTGGAGGGATTTATACAGAGGTGACCTATCTCTGGTTCTAGATTAAATAAAGTTGAATAAAATATTGTCCCAGCAATGTTAATTAGTTATTAATGACTCCAAAAAACATTACACAGTGTAAATACATACTGCATGATTACTGTTTTACTTGCCAAAGGGTCTGTAATTCTGTACATCCAGTCTTATAATTTAGATACTGTATTTCAACCATACTGCACAGTTAAGCAGGTGATACTTATTTCTTGGCCCATGTCACCTCCCTGTCTCCAATCTGCTGTTATACAATAAATCAGCAACAATACGTCTGACCAATAAGCAGGTAAGGGGATACAGAGAGCAGGGATGCTAAACCGGGAGGCAGCAGAGCGATCTTCTTGACTAGCAGAGATATAATGAATATAGTGATGGCTGGCAGAAAAATTACAAACTATTTGGTAGATAAAACAACAAATATTTGTGAATCAGAACTGTTTATATAGCCTTTGAAGTTCTACTTACTGTATGGAACTAAGGCAAGATATTACTGTTTACTCTCGATGTGGTTTCATCTAGTGATTGAGCAGTCCAGCTTTTTTATACCAGCAAGGCCGGTCTTATGCTGGGAAGACTTCATAAAAAAAGATTTCCAATCTTTGTACTAAATGTCAAAACACCAAGGAAAATATTTCCACACGACTGGGCTTTTTCACAGTGTTTATAGGAAGATGCCCATTTTCAGTGGAGATGTACGTAGCTGATTAAATTGTCCTTGCTGAAAGACAATTGTGGAGTTTTCTTTCATGCTTTAAGTGGAAACACTTCTGCAATAGAAAGGCTTAAGTATTTCATTTTTCTCCAAGCAGCTGGACGGTTTCATTATAAGCTTCTATACAACAGACCTGTTTTATATATGTTACACCCTGGAAAAGTAATTTTTAGCAGTCAGAAAATGTGTATACCAGTCCTTATAATTGTGCAAAAACTGGTGTATTTATTGGTGTATAATTAAAGCAAAGTAAGAAATACCCAGGCTGTCGGGATTCATTGCACCAAACATTTGATATATTGTGTTTGATATTCCTAAACTTAACATTAAGAAATGACAAAATAGAGAAAAGACTGGTATTGTTACCTAGTTCTACCTCAATTATGCAGTTAAAAGATTTGATGTTCCACCCAGAAGGCCTCTGGTCCATCCTGGAATAGAAGCATGAAATTCCTAGTAAAGTAAAGTTTTATTATTACATTTTGCTTAAAAACCATACAGTAAAATGTGCTCTGGTCACAGTATTAGAAATTTGCGAGTCTTATGGGGGTTATATTTCAGTCTGTAACTCCTTATTTAATTGATTATCGATAGTAGAGTTAACTGAACAGTTCAGTGAATAAAATTTAGTCTAAAAGCATAGCAAACGCTACTTTATATAGCTGAGTGGAATATTAACCTTTGACCATTTTAAAATATACTTTTGAGTCTGAGCCATGAGCTCAACAGCTTTGTGTGCTGGATTGGCACTACGCAGGATAATGCCCTGTACTGGTTTACAGTTTCAGCTGTTAGCCACACAGCTGCATTTTTGGATTTACATTACATAACACATTGCCATCTATTTGCTTTGCAGTCCAAGCCATTAGCCAAACAGCTTCATATGCGGTTACATTACTTTTCTTTTGGCTTCACATTCTGATAAGTTATTTTCAAAAATCACATTCTTACTTAGAAAAAGACTTATAAAATAGTATTAAGACCCTGCTCTGTATGAACCCTATGTAGAAATAACCCACCACTCCCCAAATCTCAGGATTTTATTGGTCGGTGTCTGTGAAAGGGCAGAAGACAGGAGACGAAAACTATCTTAAACCTATGCCTTCAAATATTTATCGTGTGTAGGTTTGTTTGCAGCTCAAATATACTTTATGTGAATTAAATTCTCTATGGGCACTTTAGAAGACTCACTGTTGAATTGGCCTTTTAGTATACTTCCTAAGATGGGAAAGACTTGACACATCTTAGTGCTAGAACTTTGTTTTTGTATTTTTTATGATTGCACTCAGACCATTGATACCTCATTATTGATAAACACCATTTTTATACATATATATTTTTATACATGTTAGCTAATAGAAAGATAGTTTTGAAGGAAATAAACAGGGATTTGATCCTAAGGAAGGGATATCTGTGTTCTTTGTTCTTACAATGATGTTTAGCATTTTAAATAATCAGCTGGACAAGCTGAGTGTATTTGTTAATATAACACACCTAACATATCAAGTGTACTCAGAACAAGGTCATGCTCTCTGTGCCCAAACATTGATCAGAACCTTGGCTGCTAAATCGTGGTTACAAAGTTTGCAGTATATCTTCTGGTGATGAAGGCACAGAGAAAAAAATTAGGCACGCTCCAAATTAATGATTATTTCTACTTGGTTAATTTTTTCCTTATCCCCGACCACGCTCTGCAAAGGAGACAGCCTCTTGATTGATAGCCCTTATCGGACTGTCTCTGCACTTTCCCAACTCCAAACAAGGCTCCTCTTCCAGTTCTATTGCATTTGCTGATTCCTGTGAGTGTCCCTCTCCCTCTGCATTCCTGTGACATCGCTTGTGTGGAAAGTGCAAGGACAGTGAGAGAGTTGTCAATCAAGAGGTCATCTTCCTTTGCAGAGAGTGGTTGGGATGAAGAGGAGTAAACTGTCAAAGTCTTTATCTCAGTTTCTACGTCACTTAGAAGCATGGGATAAAAAGTAACATACACTGTGGGAGTTAGTTGTCTGAGCTGCGAAAAATAATAAAAAATGAGACTTCTTCTGCTAATTTAACAGTAAACCTATAGCAATGGTTGCTGTGGATACCAGACACAGTGAGCATTGCTATTTGCATTGAATCCCTGTAGTTTTACAAGCTTTGTCCGTCTTCTGGTTGCTGAGCCATTTTCTTTCATTATTTACAAGCGCAATGTCCTTGCTGCTCCTTCTCCATGCATACAGGCCTTAACTAGTAATTGCCTGTGATTGGCGCTCCGGCGCTGTCAGCTTCCTAGCGGGCTCGGCACGTGGAGCTGCAAACACTCCCGAGCCCATCACTATTAACTAGCAGACTGACCTATGTTTGAAATGCAGGTCCCCAGATTCTCATTTACTTCAATGGAGTAGTGTTGATGACAGTTTGAATTGCTTTTCATTTGCATTTCTTCAGATATAAGGTGTCCTATTGAGGTATGTTTTAAAGAAGTACTCTGGGCAAATAAAATCTTAACCCTTGCAGTGGTGCTTATTTTGTCTAGGGAGCTAAAAAAGTAGATATATACTCACCTGAACCACGATCCTGGCTGACTCCTAGACCAATCCCTGCAGCCTGTCTCCCTCTGCTCCAGCGATGGAATGTCCCTCAGTGTCCTTAGGTCCAATACACAGTTTTAGACATGATGACTCACAGGATGTTGCACAGCTGGAGCAAAGGGGAGCGAGGCTGAAGGGACCGCTCTAGGAGCCAGCAGTGAGTATATCTGTGCTATTTTAGCTCCCTGGATAAAATGACTACTTATCTCTTGAAGTGTGGGGATAGCCCAGTGTTCTTTAAATTGCAGGCAAAGCAGGTCAATGCAGTCTTTTCTTACCAGTTGTAAGTATTTAAGCAGCACTGTGTTCGAAAGTGAAAGGCTGCATTTGAAAAGAACGTTAGTCTACATAAGCCCATAAAGACATTCATAGCTCTTTGATTACAGACTGATAGCTGCAGCTATGGGCTGTTAAGTATAATGCGGGATGCAGTGCAGCGCCATGTTTGGAGCTCATTAGGATCCAGCCCAATCCTGCTTCATCGTTCACACATCAGCTGTGTTGTCCTCTAAGGAAATGCTCAACATATCACATTTAAAGTTCTTTGAGCATTACAGTTTTGGTATCTTTTTATCTAATCTTCACCATGCATAACTTCATATTTTCCTCTCCCGTCCAGACAAGCAATGCCGGAAACCTAGACATATATATTTGTAGCTCTTTTGTTTTGTTATGCAAAACGTTTCTGACTAATTATCTGAACAAAAGACTTAAACCAATTCAACAACTTTAAAAGGCCATTTTAGTCTG